CTTGTAGAGAGGTACAGAATATAAAGCGTGGGGAGGAACAGGTGTTGAGTGAAGTGCTACAGAATTAATGCATTTTAATAGCTTGCTCGTAGGGAAAAACACAAACCAGTTGAATCCACATTGTTGACGCTGGTCTAAAGTCAAGCAGAAGTTTTTAAATGGGGCTGGATCAGACATGTGGTGTGCTTTGTTAACTGCATCATGGGCAAGCTTCTGCAGAATCAGGATCAGAGCATACATCACTGAGTTTTTCATGTGCAGATTATTGACTAAACCAGAAAAAAGGGAGTCCAATAGAACGATAAATCTTGTTCGAGCCACAGGCTCCATGGTGACCCGAGGGCAGTCATTTTATCTCCTGCTTTTGTCTCCTCTCTGTAAAATGGTGATAAAAGCATTTTCTTATCTTACAGTGGAGTAGTTATGAAAAACATTAAGGATTATGATTTGCTTAAATACTGTGTAATGAAGGCCATTAGGCACCTTAGACAATTCTATTCCTCGGTTGCTATTCTGAACTGAAATACTGGGGGGGGGGGGGGGGATTATTTTTTCTCAAATGAACTCAAGGAAATGCATCAGTAAGGACTGATAAGTATACCCTGTGAAATATTAGTGCTAAACTGTGTTCTGTTTTCTGAATGATATCACTAGATGGTTTCTATCTTGTCAGCCTACCTGCACTTCCTCACCATTTCATTCAAATACCGCAAACTTTAAAATAAAGAGAAAAGGGAAAGTTATCTGCTACAAGGCCACCATGGCTGCAAGAATCCAGGATTTCTGCACTTGTCCTTTTAAGTCCTAGTGTTATTAATTGAAAGAGTGGGTGACAAAAGCTGATTAAGGCATCTGTGATTAGTAAAAACAAAAGAGCCACAATTGCCACAAGAAATAAACACAAAACTATCACCAAACAAAAAGGAGAAGGGAAAGGGGTAGAAAAAGAAAAGGAAAGGCAGAAGGAGATAAAAAGAAGCTGTTGACAACAGTGAATACTCAACATGAATCACAGAATCATGACACAAACATGGTCAGGTTTTCACTGACTGTAGGAGCAGCAAAAATTTTGCACATATTCACGTAAATAACTGGTCTGTATTTTCTGTACCTCATATAATCCTCTGTCTTCATGGGTCCACAGAAGGATGTGTTAAACTGCAGGTCTAATTTCTGTTTTGCTGTTGCTGTTTCCCTGAGATGTCCAGCATTCTCAGGATTGTTATCTATTTTTGCAGATATGTTTTTATTTGCTTGTTTATTTGTTTTTCTCAGAAGATCAAAACACAAAAACCAAGCTGTGAACAGGATTTGATTTATTATTGAGGTGTCTGTGCTGTAGGTCAGTACTGACATAAGTAAGTAGAGGGGCATTTTATATGCAAGAGGTGTTTTCATGCAGCACTGAGGCAACATGTTGCACTGGGAAGGTCAACTGCTGCTAGAGAGTACTTTTGGGATAAGTGAAATCTTTCACATAAAACAAACAAACAACAAAAAAGCAAAAATAAACAAACAAACAAATGAAAAACATCAAAAAGCTTTTTTTTTTTTTTTTTTTTCCTGAAAAATATGCTTTTCCTGTGCCATCCAAGGAACGGCAGAAGTTCAGTGCTTGTTTTCTCCTTTTTCCTGTGACAAGGGAAAAAGCAGCTCCCATTGACCCATCTCTTTATGTCCTACCTCATTTTATTTTATACGCTGTCAACCTGAAGCATTTCTGGAGATGTGTTTGGAACAGGAGGGATGGGTCAGGTTATTATTGACAGCCCTGGCTGTGTGAAGTGCTGGAAGTAAGCTTCAGTACCTCAACTCAGGTAGTCTGTCGTGTTTATGTCTTTATCAGGTGCAGTGGTGATAGCGTCGCTGCTTTCCTCTGGTATTAATTTATAAAATTGGTTGATCAGGTAATCTATAGCCACAGAGGGAATTAAATTCTCATCTTCTAATCCCTTAATTATAGAACTGTGTTTGTTTATAGGAAGTCCCATTGACTCAACTAGGATGCTCTAAATATCTCTGGGAAATAAATAATAGCATCTTGCTTTACACTTATTTGAAAAAACATCCACTGGAGCAGGTATTGTGTTTTGAATATAAGAGTAAAAGACGAGCAAACAAAGGACTTTTTCAGGTACACATTTCAGAAATGAAATACTCAAGCAGTTCATTCTACATGGTCCAGATGAAGTAAAAAAGTACATTTGCTCACATGCCTCTAGAGATAGCTGCTACATAGGACAAAATGCACAGACTAAGTCTTTTGAGATTCCAGCCTTCTCCGGTGGTCCAGTCTTCTCCAAAGGACCCACTGCTGGATACAGGAGAAGTGTGGCAGGGAAGGAGCAGAAGATGCCATGTATTGACTGTATGTCTGCAATTTCAGAGTTTGTTTGTGATCTAAAAGTTACTGAATAAGCAGAAGAAAACAAAAATCTTCAGGAAACATTTGATTAACATTTTATGCACTACATTCATACTAGAAATCAGTTTCTATGGTTTACTTTCATGAATGATTTTTCTGATTTCTTTTTTTTGTCTTCTAATTTTGGTCCAACAACTGCCCAGATATTCGTTGTTGGCTGTCACAGCCCGTTGCAAGGTTAGGTCAGAGGACTACACAAATAGTTTGTAAAAAAAAATAGTTGTAAAAAAAAAAATAGTTTTTTTTTGAGAACAAGGTCTGTTCTTATGGTAATCTCTCAGTAAAGCAGTTTTCATGTGCATCTTTTGAAAGGAAAATGTTATGAACTTTGGAGTTTGGTATTTCAAATTTGTTTCTATTGTTTTTTTCCTAACGTACAGTAAAGGAACTTCTATGTTTATGATAACAGTGATAGGAGGACCTACCCTCTATAATGACTACTGTGAATTTGATCTTCTCATTGTCATAATATCCAGATCAATATTACTGCTTTTGTAAGTGATGAGGATTTTGAAGTGAGGTTTCTTTTGCAGTCTGTCAGAGAGTGAAGAAGAACGATGAGTTAGCGTATTCGCTTATGGTAAGATGTTAGATTAGTGACAGCCTTGGTCAGGCTGTTTGGAGATGTGGCAGCAAGGAAGACCCCGGGAACTACAGGCCAGTGAGTCTCACCTCTGTGCCTGGGAAGATCATGGAACAGATCATCCTGGACGTCGTGCTTGATCACATGAGGAATGAGCTGTGATCCGAGACAGCCAGCACGGCTTCACCAGGGGAAGGTCATGCTTGACCAATCTGGTGGCTTCTATGATGGAGTGACGGCATCAGTGGACAAGGGAAAGGCGACTGATGTCATTTACCTGCACTTGAGCAAGGCCTTTGACATGGTCCCTCACCACATCCCTATCTTCAAATTGGAGGGATGTGGATGTGGCTGGAAAGGTGGGCCTGGGTGAACCTGATGAGGTTCAACACAGCAAAGTGCAGAGTTTTGCACTTGGGCCAGAGGAATCCCAGGCATCCATACAGACTGGAAGGAGCGGTCCTTGATAGCAGCCCTGCAGAGAAGGACCTGGGGGTCCTGATGGATGAAAAGCTTACCATGAGCCAGCAGTGTGCCCTTGCAGCTCAGAAAGCAAACGGTATCCTGGGCTCCATCAGCAGAAGGGTGGCCAGCAGGGACAGGGAGGTGATTGTCCCCCTGTACTCTGCTCTTGTGAGGCCCCATCTGGAATACTGTGTCCAGGTCAGTACAAGAAAGATAGGGAGCTGTTGAGAGGGTCCAGAGGAGAACCATGAAGATGATCAGGGGTCTGGAGCACCTCCACTATAAGAACAGGCTGAGGGAGCTGGGCTTGTTCAGCCTGGAGAAAAGGCGGCTATGGGGTGACCTCATTGCAGCCTTTGAGTGCCTAAAGGGAGCCTGCAAACAGGAGGAGAATCAACTCTTTGAAAGGGTTGATAACTGCAGGACAAGGGGAAATGGTTTTAAGTTGAGGGAGGGAGATTTAGGTTGGATGCCAGGGGGAAATTCTTTACAGAGAGAGTGGTGAGGTGCTGGAACAGCTGCCAGAGAGGTTGTGGATGCCCATCCCTGGAGGTGTTCAAGGCCAGGTTGGATGGGGCCCTGGGCAGCCAGGTCTATCATTAAATGTGGAGGTTGGTGGCCCTGCCTGTGGCGGAGGGTTGGAGATTCATGATCCTTGACGCCCCTTCCAACCCTGGCCATTCTGTGATTCTGTGACTGATGTGGATTGCGTAGAATAATGGTGAATGCATACAAAATAGTTGAGCTTTTCCAGGCAGCGCAATTAATCAGCAGTAAACTACAAAATGAGACAAGACCTCTTTAAGGTTCATATTTTTAAGTGTGAAGATCTAGATTCAGGCCAGAGACTCCTCCAGAGGCGGTTGCAATGGATGGGATAGGCAAACAGGGCAGAGTGATCCCAGCCAACTGTCTGGAGAGACAGGATTACTGAGCAGTTTTCTAAAGCTTTCCTAGTAAGCAGCAGATGAAGGGCAAGGTGAGGGGCTGGAGGCAGGTTTACCTCAGGATGAGCCTTCATCTGACCCACAGAGGACTCTTCTGGTTGAGCAGAGAGTATGCATTCCCCATTGTGGGCTTGCCGCTGCGGCAGGGAAGCATTTTGGCTTTAGCTTCCTTTATCCCTGTAACAATCCCTTCCAGCTCCCCACAGGTTTTAGCTTGCCACTTTCTGCTCCTGCAGTGCTGCCTCTTATCCTGCTAGCTTTCATTGATCGCCGCCGCCCCTGACACTCACATGCCCTTTGATGAAGTAGCTGTCCAAGCTCCCATCCCTCCACAAGCTGCGTTACGGACCCACTTTCTATGTGAGACGTTCATTAGTGTCATTTGCCAAAAGGTTTATGTAACAGATGTTGCAAAGCGGCAAGCAGAAACGCACATGCACACACACACACACTAGCATTGCAAAGACCGTCGGGGTGTTGATGATGGGAGTATTGTCTGCAGGACTAGAGTAGCTTGAAGGCATAGCTGCATCTGTTAAAAAGCAACTAATGTCTCTATGTCACCATGCTGTATTTTCAGCTTGTCATCATGGCTGGGACTGTTCTGCTTGCCTACTATTTCGAGTGCACCGATACTTTTCAGGTGCATATCCAAGGTTTCTTCTGTCAGGATGGCAATTTGATGAAACCATACCCTGGAACAGAGGATGAGAGCTTCATTTCACCTCTGATGCTCTACTGTGTGCTGGCTTCGACTCCGACAGCTATTGTAAGTATAAGAAATTATTTGAATTCTCCACTGCTGCTCCATAAATAACAGCAATAGTCCTGTAATACCTCTGTCCCCTTTCCTCTCTTTTCAGCTGTAATTGATTTACACTTAACTGGTCTCCACTTTGCCTTAGCCTAATATGATCTTCATCAGTTATCTCCAGATGTAATTATTCTGAGGTAATCACAAAGTAAGATTGAGTGGTAGAGCTTGTTAAGCCTGCTACAATAGCTTGCCCACCTCAGTGATTAGTTGTCAATTGTCTGGGCTCCAGAGAAGCATGAACGCAAAAGTGATCTATTACTGGATATTAAAAAAAAAAAAAAAAAAAAAAAAAAGGGATAAAGCAGGAGAAAAATGTTGGCTGGAGGTGAAGCATGTTCAGGATTATTTGCTGCTGTAGTAAGAGGACTGTTGTAGGGCTTTAAAGGGCTTAGAAAAACAGAGAGATGCTCAATATTGAGAGAAGTATGAATGCTCCCTCCTTTGTATTTCAAGTTTCTGTAATCACACGGATAAATTCCCATCATACTACATCCTTTGTTTCCTTATGTTGCTTTCTTTTCCTTTTTTTTTAATCTTTAGTATTTCTTAACTTTGCTTTGTATATCTTTTAAAACTTAATTAAAACCATCCATTATATATTTATTTGTGAGAGGCTAATTGCTGGACTACAGTCCATTTCATTTTACAGTCTGCCGTAATATTAATGCATGAAACAGTGTAACACAGAACTTCATAAGAAACGTGAAAGATATCTGCATCCACAGTTTTTATCAAAAGACTTTGTGAAAATGAGTTTTCAATCATGATTTCAAATGATTTCAAATCATTTCAAAATGATTTATGTCAGGAGCTTATGAAAATCCTCTGCAGTAACAGTGTTGTTTTCTCTATTGGAACTCAGTTGCTGCAGGGAAGATGTTTCGCAAATGAAAAAATAAATGCTACATTTCTCCCTAGTGACCTTCACAGTAACTTTCACAGGCTGTGCTTTTAAAGTGAGTCTGAGTGACGCTGTTATATCTGGATGCTGTGACACTGGAGTTAGTAGGAGGACTGTTCCTTGTTTCAGTGATATGTTATTAAAACTGCTCTTTTTTCAGTTGGATCTTCTTTAAAGATTCCTGGTAAAGTTGTCTGCAAACCTTTCAGGTTCTGCTCTGCTGGATCAACATTTCTTTCCTATCAGTGGCCCAGTAACTTTTTCCTAGTTACTTATGAACAGCTGGTTTTGGGAGTTGAACAATGCTATTTTCACAGTTTATTAAACAGGAGGTGAAAGATTGGAGAGAACATCAAATGAGGGTTTTGTGTACAGAGAATTTCAGTTAAAGAGCAGTGTGGAACTGATGGGTCTGTCTTGCACACTGCTAGCAGAGATTACAGCTTTGGTCCTGAGGTACAGTAATCACACTAAATTATGGGATATGAGGTTGTAAGCCCTGCTCCTTGGGATGAGCTGTGCTGTTGAACAGAGTCTACTGCTTCATTTGGAGAATGGTCAGTGACACTTGGTCAGTGCCATTGCGGAGCTCTTCACTCCATGCTTTGTTGTGATCTCTGTGTACAACCTCTAAGGAGACAGTAGATCATTCCTCCTGGATAAACAAACATTTTTATTCATAGCATATTATATATTAACATCTTACATAATGTTTTATTTATATTATTGTGTTGCAGTATGAATATATTACTTAAATCCTCTCTGTATAATTTCTTAGTATTGAGCTAATTCTCAACAGAACAGATGTCAAAGGGATCTTTTTCTGTGCTCACAGGTCCTCAGCACAATGTTTTTGTCTGAGCAACTTGACTGTTTCTCATACCCTTCTCTTTCTCAGAGACTTTCCCGTCCTTGCAGGATGATTTCAAACTTTGGCTTTAGTTGATCCCTGTTTCCACTCAGTTTTCTGCTGAAGACTGAGTTTTGGCAATGATAGTTAATAAAAAGCTGGTAAGTGAGATGGAAAGTGAGCTCAGATTCTCTGTAAGAACTGTTCCTGCATTGCATTGCTGGTCAAACCACTGTGTGTGTATCTCTGCAACTATACCCGGGTAGGTGCTGCCTGTTGTTCAGGCAGTATAAGTCCAGAAAGTGATTTTTGATGCAATTGAACATCCTTGAACACCCCAGAGGTTTCAATAAAAGGAGTAAGTGCAGCCATTTCTGCTCATACTGTGATGATTATAATCTCCCCTGCCTGTTTCCCACTCCCTTTTCCTTTCCTCCCCCCGGGCGGCCCCCCCCCCCAAAAAAAAAAAAAAAAAAAAGCAAAAGAAAGAAAGCACAGCTGTGTTTTGTAAAAAGGAAGTTTGCATGCATTCACTGTGGGCTAAGCTACTTTCACTCTGTGCACTCTGTTCTTGGGAGTAATCACTGACAACCTGCAGCTCCAATATGAAGAAATGACATAAGTACAAGGTAATGCCAGCCCTTTTTTTTTCTCTGCAAGACTATTGCTTCACTTTCTGATAGTGAATTGGTTGGCTTGGCTAAGAGGATTTATGGTAGTGAGTGCTGCATGCATATTGCCCTTTCTCTAATACCTCATGACAGGAGGGGAGTTGTTAACAAGAATAGGAGCCCAGCAGTAGCCAGGAAGCACTCTCAGTTCTGCTTAACAGCCTTTCTGGAGCCATGGAAAATAGTCCAGGAGTCAGTACAAACACTCTCAGATGAGTCACAAGCAATCTGTAAGTGCAGTCCGGTGTGCAGAGCTCTGAACAGGGCTCCAAGCCCTGATTTTAGCATAGATGTGAGGTGTTAGAGTGCTTGAAAGCCAAAAGGGAGCATCTTTATGAATGTAATGGAATATCGTTGTGTCTCCGTCATTTGGCTGTGACAGAGGCCGTGGGGAAAATGAATGCATGTATTTTACAACACGTCTCAGATGTGCTGTTGTGATTTGGTACCACTGTATGTTCCTTTCCCTGCACTGTAGTGGCAAAATAAATGAGACCAGCCTGTTTTTCTGCTATGCTGGGTAGTTAATCATCATACATCGGAATTACAAAAGTCTTTTAATGCTTCTGGTGATAACCTTTTAGTCTCTGATAATGAGAGTTTCCTGCAAGGGGAGATGCCCGAATCTCATGGTGACACTGTTAAATAAATTAAAATCATGTATGCCTGACTCCATTCTCTGAAATGCATTTTTCTCTCAAATGTTCCACTGAGGATAGGTCAAATGCTTTCATCTGCCTTATTCATTTTTAATTGTCAGAGTGTGTTGATATTAGCATCTTTGCTGCAAAGCAGAAGGGAAATGGTGATTTCAATGATAAATTGCACCTGAAAAAGGACAAACTTGTTTTTCTTTGTAAATAAACATCTTATTTCATATTTAGTGGTTTGTCCCCTAAAACATGCATGCTCAAATTTAAGTAGGAAATTATGCTGTCTCTTTATTGCTAGAGTAAAGAGATTCCTACAGTCCTGTCTGTTTTAGATTGTACTTGTCACCTGTACATTCTGGCACCATGAAGAGCTTCCTGGGGAAAGAAAGGTGAAACCATTCATGTCTCGTGCTAGTTATTTTCAGTATCCACCTCTTCCTCTTTGCCCTTCTTGGCAGCTGATTTCAGTTGTGATGATGTTGGAGATTGGTTACTAAAAAACTGTTTCTTCCAGCTGTCCTGTTTTCACAGTGAGATGGGGTATAAAAATGCTTTCATTCTGTCTTGGTAAATTAGAATGAGATGAGATGTGATGGAGTGGAATGGAATGGAATGGAATAGTTTGGTTGGAAGGGATCTTCACTGATCAAGTCTGAGTGCCTGACCACTTCAAGACTAACCAAAAGTTAAAGCACGTGATTGAAGGCATTCTCCAAATTCCCCTTGGCACTGACAGCCATGAGGCATCAATCACCTCTCTAAAAAGTTGATTCTGGTGTTTGACCACCTTCACAGTAAGGAAATGTTTCCCAGTGTGATGTCTTATCTTCCCTTGGCACAGTTTTGGCCCATTCCCACACACCTGCCGTCAATTCCCAGGAGCAAAGCCCAGCACATCCCTCTCCATTTCCCCTCCTCAGAGAGCTGCAGAGAGCCACTTCTCAAACTTCTGTTCTCCAAACTGAGCAGCCCGTGTGTCCTCAGCTTCTCCTCACAGGAGATGCCTTCCAGACCTTTCAGAGGCTAGGGTGAAATTAGTTTTCTCCTTGGCAGTCGTGGCAAGTACTTGGCAATAAGCTACCTACAAAATATGTGCGGACACAGAAAGGGGAGTGGTGAGGAGGAGGAGGAAGATGTTCATTTCCATATCTTCTAAGAATAAAACAGAACTTTAGTCTTTGCCTCATCCACTTGCAAAGGATAAGAAATTCCAAACTCTCAAAAAGCTGCTGTTGTCTTTGGCTTAAGACAGCCTACAGCAACATATCTGCACATTTAGCTAGCAGACACAGATCTTCAAATGGACAACTCCTCTTTTGGTGATCGTAAGTACTTCAGGCAGGGTGAAATTAGTGACAAGATGAATGTGTTTATTTTTGGAGTTGGGGTCTTAGCATAGCTTTTTACTTAGCTGTCCTCCTGGTGATAGGGAACATGCAATATTAGAAGCAGCTTGCAAGTGGAGCTTGAGTTCCATGATAGCAAGTCTGGTGAATTTAAAAGTTATATCCTGCAGTATCATCTTATGCAGAGCCTGAGAGAAATTATAATATTTCAGTGCGCTGTCAATTCCAAAATAAGGAGGAGTGGAGTATTATTACAATTTGGAACAGAAGTAATAATTATTTGATTTTTTTTGCCAATATGAGAATTTTACAAAAATAATGTTTCAATCAGAACAAATTGTTTCATATAAACATAAAATTTTCAAGCCATTTCCTTAAAAATGTTCTGGATATCTCAAGCATTAATTTGTGTTCCTCAAGGGTGCAGGTTTTCATTTCCTGGAAGTAGGATGGAAAGTGCTGCTGCTGTTTTCATGCAATCTTTTTTTCTGTATTTCCAGGAAGGAGGTAGCAGCTCCTTGTAGCTGTTAA